CTCCCTGAGTTCATGAACTTCAAGCTTTGGGGAAGACCATGTCAGGGGCGGACCAACAGTTTTCGTTGTCTTTGTTTTTGCCAGGGAACTGAGGAGCTGAGCGGTCCACTTGTTGCGATTCCGTCCGACGAGTGCTTTTCGCACGCGCAGGACGGCGCGCGGGGGAAACCAGGCCTGCCAGGGCCTCCGGCCAAGCTGGAGGAGGAGAGCCAGAACAGCTCCAACAGCTCCAGCAGCAACGAAACCAACGCGCCTGCGCCCCGGGGGTTTTCTTGGGCAGTCGCCTGTGATGACTGATGTTTTTTTTTTGGGGGGGAAGTCGACTCAGTCGCCTGTGACTCAGCAGGTTGCACTCGGTTTGCTGAGGACTGCGGCTGCACCGGCACCGGCACCGGCAGCGGCAGCTGCCAAGAAGCCAAAGGGGGTCAGCTTCACCACGTACATGGCAGTGTTTGGTGCACCTCGGATTGAAGAAATTGAGCCTCCAGCCAAGTAATCAGGTTCGGCTTTGCCATTGTATGAACTCAGCTCCCATTGGCAAGAGTGCCTGTGTGCGCGTGTGCGTGCGCGTGTGCGCCGCGTAGGTTTGCTTGCTTGCTTGCTTGCTTGCTTGCTTGCTTGCTTGCTTGCTTGCTTGCTTGCTTGCTTGCTTGCTTGCTTGCTTGCTTGCTTGCTTGCTTGCTTGCTTCCTTGAGCGATGACAGAACTGGGCTGGTTGCACGTCCTTCCCCTGGATCTAATTGGGCATGCTGGAGCACATTTGGGAGAGGCAGCAAGAGAAAGAGAGAGAGATAGGCTGCCGCCATTTGGGACCTTTTTGGAACTGCGTCCTTCGCGTTGCCTTCAAGAGGGGATAGGAGGATGGTGGTCATTGTGACCTTGCCACGTCCAGCCGTTGCATGTCGCAGACAAGCATTTGGAGCGAGGCAAACGTGGCAATGCTTCTGGTGCTGTACAAGTCGATTGATGCCATCATCGTGACACGCCGCCCCCCTAGGGACACGGCATGTCCAAGAGAAACGGTTGCAGCGGAAAGCTCCCGGTTGCGCAGCCGGCTTCAGGCGACTTGTCTGCTCGGGCCTGGAACAAGAAGAAGAAGCTCCGCGCGAAGGAATAGCGCGGGGAGGGCACAACATGACGTCCCAAAAAAGGGGCTTTGAGTTTGAGTGAGCTTCGAGGGGTCGTGGCCTCATTCTCATCGGGATTCGTGCCCAGCCAGTTTTGGACGGCCCGGGTTCCCCAGTAGAAATCATAGTCACCGTGTCTAAAGAGAACTGTTTGGACTTTTCTTGACCGAGAACAGGAGACGTCGTTTGCAAGTTCAGGACAAGGGCGGGAGACGGAGGCACCCGAGCCCAACGCGAAGTTTTGAACACATATTTTCTCGCACGGACTGAATGAGCTCCTCTTCTGATTTGAAGTACTGACCTGGGCATTTCTTCGGGAGGCTGGGGCTGGCTGGGTCCTTTGTGGTGGTTCCTGGCTAGGCCAAAGCAAAAGCATCGGCGGCGCCGGCTGTGCCTCGGATGCGTATCTGGCAAATGGGAGGGGAGGGGAGGAGTCTTTAGGCCCCTTCCGAGAACTGGTCCGTTCAATTCTGTCTGATTTTTTCCGGCATGCCAGGCACGCTTTTAGCATTGCCGGGTAGAACAAATATGGCTCCATATGGCTCACTGTCAAGCATCGGTGCCCAGCCCTAGAAACGGGAGACAGGCTACTCGCCACGCGACCTAAGTTTGTCCCGAAATGCGCCAGCAAAGCGCCAGCTCCCCACGAGCCGACCCCCGAAGAGCCCCCGTGTTCACTTCTCGGCTGCCCGAAAGGCGCAATCCGCCTGATCCGGCCGCGGACCCGATGGCGCGTGGGAGAAAACGCTGGGCACGTGCCGCCGCTTTCTTTCGGGTGCCATTCTTCAGGCCTTGGGCACCGAATGAAGAGAGACAGATGGGAGGCCGTGCCTTGCAGGTGCAGAACGGAAAGAACACATGGCTTTTCCTTTGTGACTCGGGCGGTTTCAAAGTGTTTAAGGATAACTGACCGGATGCTTTAGATCTACTTGCTGTCTCTTCTCCCTTATTTCTGTGTTGCTTTTTTTCTTCTTTTTTATTATCTATTTTTCTCCCTCTCTCTCTCTCTCGCCTTGTTTTCTTTCTCTTTTTCTCTCGCTTTGTCTCCACTTCAAGAGGGCAACATCCAACACGTCACTGTCACAAACCAACAGAAGCCCGCTGAGCAATGGTGCCTCTCGTTTGGACTATCTCCAGCTGCCACACCTGCTAAGGTTTCCAGCCCCAAGTATAGGCTGGAGCGATCTTTTTTTGTTTTTGGTGGGCACCATGGGCATTTGAGCATTGGTCACCACACCATCTTCAAGATTATTTCAAGACGCTTTTTTTTCTCCTTTTTTTCCTTCTCCGCGGAGCCATGTTGCTCTTTTTCTTTTTAAATCACCACCTGGTAAGTGTTTTTTTTGAGTTTCAGTGCTCCGCCGTCGTCCAGTGCCGTGCCATCAGCTCAAGGCCCCAAGGCCTCACTCCTCAAGGCTCTCCGCAGCCATGTTTTGGTTGACCTGGCTCCCGCTGGCGGCTGGCACCTACTCCGCTCTCGTGGATCAGATCGAGGACGATTTTGACGCGAGCGAAGAGAAAGCGTCGCCAGGCCTTGGCTCAGATAGGTCCCGGGGAGTTGGGGCCGTGGCGCAAAACAAATACGGACCCCCACAAAATAGTTGCACCTGGGTAAAAAAGGGGACACACAGGTGGAAAAACCTGCGGCTTGTCTTGCTCTTATTCTTTTTGGAGCCACACCCAGTTTGCTTGGGTGAAGATTCAGGGTCCAGGCTCCTTTGGTTTCTTTTTTGACGTTTGGATCAGCCATGCCAGCCAGAAAGATGTGTCAAGAATCGCATGCTGCAAGGCTCGTGCGAAAATGAGCTGCAAACACGGCTCCAAGCTCAGCCCGCTCGTTCGGACTGTCGGTTGCATCCATTCGCCTGGCTTTTTTGAGGTTGGCTCTCTCAAACCGCCAGCCGCAAACCGCCCAGCTCGACGAAAACGGGAAAAAACATAATTGAAAAAAAAAACAAAAAGAAGAAAACAGAAAAAAAAAACAAAACAACCCAAAGCAAACAACAACACCCATCCGCGCCTCCGCGCGAAAGTCTCCGCCAGGAGCAGGCGCGGAAGGCCGTGGAGCTCCACGGAGCGGGCCAAGTGGCGGCGGCGGTGGCCAAGTTGGAAGGGGCAAAGGGGAGCTTTCGCGAGGCCGTGCGCTTGGATGCGCGCCAGGCGGGAGGAGAAGGCGTCGTGGGCGAACTGGGCGAAGTCCAAGAGGGGGCACCACTCCAAGAAAGGGGGGGACACCCGAAGAGGTTGGTTCTGGCCCCATTGGCTTGCACTTGGATCCCGGAGCAGTTTTTCAACGTTTGAAGAATCCACCGTACAGCTAGTCTCAGACTGATCTGAGCGTTATCCCAAGTAATTGCTCTCTTGCTTGCAGGATTCTAGGGGGGAAGGGTGCGCTGAGCCAACCCAGAAGGTATTTCCCTTTTAAACATCACCCCACCAAAAATAAGTTCACTTTGAGTTGATCGAGAAGGTGCTTCTCTCTCTTTGTTTTCAATTAAAAAATAAATAAATAATAAACAATAGCACAATTATTGAAGAACCCACCAGACCAACCCTTAATTGACCCCAACGAGGGAATGGATGGTAGGGTCAGTCCCGTGTTCCCTTTGAAGAGGAAACACAATCAACCAGATTCGTTCCCATGGTGTCATTCTTATTCTTTGACATGCGTCTTGCTGTCCGTTTCCTTCAAACTTCAAACCATTCCAAGCTAAACCAACATCAAGCTGCAGCTTGGCGCTTGCTAACTTAGCGGTCAGAGCTTTTGCAACCGCGGATTCGGTTGAAGATATGTCTGGATACGCCCGAGAAGTGTTTTGTCAGGTTCCATTTTGGTGGGAGGGTAGCTGCTACTCTTTTTAAGGAGGTTGCGCTGTTTTGGCCCGGTGTCCCCCAAGTCGAGCTCAAACAAGACAGACCCACATAGGTGTCCTTTTTGGTTGGTTTGCTTAGAAAATAGAAGGCCCTGGTTTACCTGGTGGTTCAACCATCTACCAGGCCATCTATGTTTCAAGAAGGACACCTATGCCCACATATATACTCAGTTTAACCTCATAGACTCATAGAGGGTTTGGGTGCGCTGAGAGGTGGACGCCTATGTGGCCTTCGGGCAGGCGATGCTGAATACCAACCAACTGCAGGAGGCTGCCGATGCTTGGGAGAACGCCTCGCAGAGGACCTTTTTTTTTCCTTTTTTTTTTCCGGGTGACAGTTGGATGTGCGATGGCATGATTCCCTGATTGGATCAATGGCGATTTGTGTGGTTCGAAGCGCAGCAGCCACATGCAATCGGAGGTTTTTTGACGCGACAATCCACCAGGGACTGGAGTCTGGCCGCTCAGGATTGTGTTTGTTCCTCTTGGCAAGGGTTCGGTGCATGAGGATCTCCAGAGAGAAGGAGCCGTCTCTGGCAGCCTGGGTGGATGGTCGCCTGCGCTGGTCCAAGTACGGCATGGTGTCCATGGAAAGGGACCGGAGCTACGCGGAGGGCCAGGGGGACTTGGTGAAATCTGTGGCGCTCATCGAACGCCAGCTGGAGATCTACCCGGACTTCCCCAGCCGTCACCACGACTTGGCCACCACCCACGTCATGCTCTCCGAGACCCTGGAGGCCGCTTCCACCAGAGCCGTGCAGAGCTTCCGGACGGCTCAGGAGAGGGCGGTTCAAGCCTGGCGCGCCGGGCTCAAGGAGCGCGGTCGGGCCGGGCCGGAGTGCAGTGGCCGGCTGGTGTTCGACTGGGAAGGCGAGTTAGGCGCTGGAAGCGCCCTGGTGTCTGTGGACCCGGTGGTGCGGGGAGTTGAGTGCAGTGGTTGTGAGGACCATGGGGCCTACGTTGCCACCTTCAAGAATGCGCCTGGATTGCCGATGGCCTCTTCTTCCCCAGCTATTTTGTGGTAAAGCCGGCACCAAAACACCACTCGAGCAATTGGCTTTGAAGCCTGCTGATCTGGCGACCACTCTCTCCGTCCCATCCCATTGGACCGGATTTTGCCACAGAGTTTCCCTCCAAACGCCACCTCCCGGCGGCTTTTCTCTCGTTTTTTTCGAGGTGGGTCTCTCCGGGGACGACGGCGTTATCGTGGACGAGGTGCGCTGCGCGGTGTTCCTGGGCTCTGCGGGCTTGGCGGTGGACCTAGCGAAGAATCTGCAGCTCCTGGAGGTGTGGGGGGATCCCCCCACGCCCTACGCGGACGGGCCTGCCTTCAGGTGGGAGTCCAACGTTGGGCTGGGGGTAACTTGGTGTGTTTGTGTGTGTGTGTGTGTGTGTGTGTGTGTGTGTGTGTGTGTGTGTGTGTGTGTTTCTGTGTTTCTGTGTTTCTGTGTTTCTGTGTTTCTGTGTTTCTGTGTGTCTGTGTCTGTGTCTGTGTCTGTGTCTGTGTCTGTGTCTGTGTCTGTGTCTGTGTCTGTGTCTGTGTCTGTGTTGTGTGTGTGTGTGTTGTGTGTGTGTGTGTGTGTGTGTGTGTGTGTGTGTGTGTGTGTGTGTGTGTGTGTGTGTGTGTGTGTGTGTGTGTGTGTGTGTGTGTGTGTGTGTGTGTGTGTGTGTGTGTGTGTGTGTGTGTGTGTGTGTGTGTGTGTGTGTGTGTGTGTGTGTGTGTGTGTGTGTGTGTGTGTGTGTGTGTGTGTGTGTGTGTGTGTGTGTGTGTGTTGGGGCAGAAGAACGTGATGTCACTGGAAATTGAGGGGGGGGTGTCCAATGTTCAGTAAATTGGGGGCACTCTCCAACAGTAGCCGTGTTTTTAAGCGCTTTTTCCCGAGATCTCGCCGGTTCCCAATCGTTTTGATCTTCGGAAATGGAGAGACTCGCCAACAGTTTTCACCTTGCAAATCAGGTAGTTAGCTTCGGGGCAAGCAGGTGGTTGGGGCCTGGTTTCACAGGGAATCTATCACTACTGGACATATTTTCTCATTTTTATCCAGGGGGCGAATCAAATCCTCTCCTGAACTCCGGTCAAATTTTGCAGGGGGCGAAGAAGCCAATGTAGGGACTTTGGTTTCAAAGGAATCTAGGTCCCCCAGTAGTGCCAACTTTTACCACTTTTTTTTGGGAGGATTCCCCTACTAAAATAGACTACCGAAAAAGGGTACCTTATTCTAACCTCTCCACTGGAGGACCTAGGAATTTATCAGTACTGGGAAAGGACTGATCGCATGTTTTCAGGTGGTTCGACTTCTCCTTGGGCCGCGCCCCTCAGCACGGGGCCTGGGAGTCCCCGGTGCGGGTGCCGCGGGCGGCCAGCGTGGTGCAGTTTGCCGGCACCTCTCACTTCCACGTCCTGACGGAGGAAGGGAATGGTCAGAGGTACCGAAAGGTTCCTCCAAACCCACCAAGTCTTTTTGAGTTCTCCAAAAACCTTTTGGGTTGTTTTGGAGAGAAACCAAAAGGACACTCCCAGGATGAATGGGGTGCCCCCCATGTTGAGAAACACCCATTTAGAGGGTGTGAGTTTTGGGAGGGGACGCTTTGGTGGTTTAGGTGGGGATTCATGTCCACCGACCACTTTGGAGCCCCCATCGAAATTCATGGCCAAATGATTTGAACACCAGAACCGCCTCTGTTTTTTCCTTCAGCCATAGAATTCCTTGCCTTGGCGTTTGGTCAAGGGCCTCAAATGACATGGCCAAAAGGGTGTTTTCCGGTTTCTTCTGGCAGATTGGCTTGCAACATTTAGGGCATCCGCAGATCTTGGAAAGCATTCCTCCCCAAACATTCGCCGATTTTCGCCGCTCTTCGCGGGTGGGGGGTGGATTGCCATTTGCCGTCAGGTGTTTGGCCGGCTTTGGGTGCTGCGGGAGCATGGCATCCTGGCGGACGCCGGGGTGCGAGTCGTCATGCCCAGGGCCGCCGGGTTTTTGGCGGCGGGGTTCAAGGTGCTGACGGAGGGCCTAGGAATCGCGGAGCGGATCATTCATTGGACCCCGGGGCCCAACGATGTGCTGCTCAGGGCGGAGACCTTGTAACTTGGTGGCTCTCAGCCATCCGGTTCCTTTGCTTTTTAGCCTAGTGTGTCTTAGTTTCCGTTTCACCCACCAAGAGTTAGTCACTTTTCTTGGGGAGTCTGAGCCCAGGTACTTTGCAAACTGGCGGGTGCCCGTTCAGTTTGGGAAGGACGGTGGCCACTGCCCCACTCCTCCAGCGGTGCTTCGCAACACTCGCCAGGCCTTGCGGCTTCCCGCGAAGGCTGGGCCTAGGACCTTGGTCTACGTCAAGCGGAAGCGGGGGGACATGCGCAGCGTGCTGGCGGGCGAGCCTGAGTTCTCCCGGGAAATCGAGAAGGCTGCGGGCTGGTTGGCTTTCACCTCCTTTGACGGGGGCCTCAAGCCCAAGCAGACCATTCGGCTCTTCATGCGGGCGCGGGTGGTTGTGGGAGTCCA